CCCAAATCTTCGTTACACCCCCCTAATATTTGGTCCTTCGCGCGGCCCCTGTATACCGGTATATAGTATTTTTGCATTTCAACCATATATGTATATATATATATATATCAAAGATAAACTGATTTCGTTCATGTAGAAAACAGTTATGGCTTGTGGTTCTATCAATAATCATAGTCAAATTGATGGCACGAACAATAATACGTCAGTAAGTTTAAAAAATAGTCAAATCCTTGATTTTTGAATTTATATTTAAAAAGAAGACTACAATTAATCGTGATGGCGAACCTCTTATGTTGCGTAAGAATGATCAAATACAAGTCGATACTTCATTACTACCAATAAAAACAGCAAGTAAAATATCATTACCATCAACAGATGAACAATCAAGTGATCAACCACCTATATGTCGTCTATGCCATTCTCAAGGTACAAATGATGAACCGTTAATATCGGTGCATGATTGTTTGGGTACAATACACTATTTACATCGATCATGTGCAAACAAAGCTGACGTTGAATCAGGTGAATTTATAGCGTACGCAGAAACAGAACCATTTAAACAAGTAAAAGCAATACAGAAGAAAAATTTATATTTTATTTGAATTTTTTTGTTTAGCGGCAAAAATTAAATATGAAAGCTGGTGAAATATGTAAATTAGTGTGCTCTCTTGCAAGCAGTTTAATACTTGTTCTTTGTGTTCTATGGAGTCTTTATGTATTAATTGAAAAAACAAGAGAGGAAGTTAAGACTGGAAAGCTTCGTATGTTACATTTTGAAATTACTCTTCTTTGTTTTTTATGGAGAAAAAGATGAGCATTTTGTTTTATTAGAATGGCCGTTTTGGACTAAATTAATCGTTATTATTATTTTTCTCTTTGGAGGATTGGTAGGGCAATGCTGAACATAATAGAGAAATAATTATTGATTGCCTGTTTCTTTTTAAGCTTTGTCTTTGTGTTCAATTCAAAATGTATATTAAGGTAGGATTATTTATTTACATATTATAATATCTTATAAAAGATGTTGATTCAATCAAGTAGCTGAAGTTAGAGAGTTATATGAAAAGTGAAGTGTAATTTGAATTTGTTCTACTTATAGGTAATTCTCAGCGAAGAGATTGAGTTTGACTTTTAGAGAAATTATTGACAAAAATTTACATCTCCTATTTTGGGATAGATTCTACTCGGAAGAATAGTCTAGAATTATTCAAATAGGTAAATGAATCAAACTTCGACGTGAGCAGTGTAGTCATATTGAAAATGAATAGAATGAAACCATATTCGAATAATTAGTGCATAAATTAATCATAGGTGATGAGTTAAGAGTAAACAAGTCAATATTTTAGCAAATATGTCTCTTTCGATGTATATTACAACTGAAAGTTCAGTATCTTGTTCAAGGAAACATCCTGCGATTGAATAATCAGTTGGATCATAAAACTTCTTCAATGTTTGATAATTCAGAATTATTTTAAAACTACCCAGGTCAATGATTCCGGAGGACGGATACTGTAGGAACCGGCCGGAAAGATGCGGAAAAATCACCGTATCTGGTCGGAAAGCACGGGAAAGCTCTGGAAACTGGAAGCAGTATTCCAGTTGGAAGTTACCGGATTTTTTNCGGTCAGTTTCCTGTGTTTTCCGGTCAGTTTTCTGTGTTTTACATCTGGAAGTTGATCGGAATCTACAGGAAGAAAATCCGGTAACTTCCAACTGGAATACTGCTTCCTCTTTCCAGCGCTTTCCTGTGCTTTCCGGCCGTTTCCCGCCGTACGTCCACGACCTGGGTATATATGTATATCGTGATATATATTTAATCATCCCTGTATAGCAATCGATTTTTGCATTGCATCATTGGCAATGCATACAAAGAGAAAACATGAATTATCAGACGTTGCATCCAAAACGAACTATATCATATTCATCACAGTGATCTTATCCCGTGAATTATATTACTGAGTTAAATTATTAGCATAGATCGAAGAGAAATTCGTTCAGTTTATCGCCAATTTTAATCTTAATCTTTTGAATTAGAATGCATGCAAACATCCTCAGCAATCATTCAAAGTGATTTAAGAAGAATATCTTAAATTCTCATTTACAAAAGATTAGGCATGTTGTATTGAACATAAATATATAACTTTCGTGACTTTATTTTAAATTCAATGATAAATTGATTTCTTTAGCATTGTATTCGTTGGCGTCGGCTTAATCGACGTATTTTAATTCGTTCAAGACATGAACAAGAAAATGCTGAGGAATTGCCTCCAAGTAAACCAAAATTGAAAAATGTTCAATAATAAAAAGAACAAAAAGAAATTATCCATTTCCTTTATATTTTTAGGGATGAAATATTCCAAAAAGAATCATGATGATTCTATTCTGACAATATCTGATGGCAATAATTGATCACTATCAACTTCTAATGTTTATATTTGTGATCTCAAATAGCTTTCCAAAGAAACTTTTTAATGTTTATTTCATTTTGTAAATGTGTAAAAAAAGCTTACGAATGTGGTTGCTAGTCTTCATTCAGCGAAAGCTTACACCCACATTCGAAACCTTTCTTCAGCTTCGTAGTCGACACAGAATTCGTTTTTGATCCTCGTTGGTTCGATAGGGAACCTTTTTATCAGTGTTCATTTGCCATGTCTCATATTAAGTTGCATATTAAATATACTCATGAAAATGCATTTTCCACTGCTAAAAGTTTTGGCGGAGCCAAATTTATTGACATAATCATATATAGTACACTCTGATTATAAGACTGACTGAATGGATAGTTCTGAAATAAAATGAAATA